GGGGGGAGGCCTGACAGCGCCCTCCCCTTCCCCAGGCAGTAAGGGTGGGTCAGCTGGAGGGGGCTGGCTCAGCTGGTCTCATCTGGAAACCAGAGGGATGGGAAGGACAGCAGGGGAGACAATGGGCGCGCGCGCGCGTGCGTGCGTGTGTGTGTGTGTGTGTGTGTGTGTGTGTACACAGCCTTCTGCGTGTGTGCGTGTGTGTAGGAGAGTGTGTACACTGCCGGGAGGGTGGAGAGGGAAAAGGAGGAGGGGGCAGCACAGCAGCTCGAGAACGAGTGTGTGTGAGGGCAAGAGTGGGGCGGCCGCAGGAACAGAAAACAAAGAGCCTGATGAGATTTCCGCCAGCCGGAGGATGCGAAAGGCCAAAAGGAGGGAGCACTAAAGCAGGAGCCCTAGCGTGTTCTCACTACCCGGGCCTCTCAGCATGGTGAAGAGCCTCCGGACAGCGTCTGTCCCCGCTTCCCCAGGGCTCAGAGGCCACGACCTCCCCAGTAGCGGGGACTCCCTCCCTCCCCACACCCCGGCCCGAGCAGTTCCCAGAGCGCGCGGGAGATTCAAGACGGAACGGGACGCCCAGAAACTTGATAGATGTCCCAGAGGGCTGACCTAAGCCCAAAAAGGGCCTGAGAAGCCTTGCTGACCCCAACTGAGCCCAGTAGCAACACAGATGCCACCCCCCCACTTAACGCTGTTTACCACCCGCCCCTCCCCGTATTCCAGATCCCCGGGAAAGGGGAGAGACGCCCAAGGGATTCCCGCTTAAGGAGAGCGTTGTAACGTAACAGCCTTCTCTATTGTGTGACTCTAAGCAGCCGGAGATTGCATCCCAGTTAAGCCTTCAATTGTAGGACCCTGGGCAAGTCGCAGCCTTTCCCTGAATCTCGTTTCATCATCTGTGAAATGGGAGAACAATAGCGGCCGTTCTCTGAGCCTTACGAAGAATCACAAGAGGTTTAGGTGGATGAAAACTACAGTCACGTGCAGCTCGGGAGGGAAGGTTTCACCCTTCTCTTCCTGAAGGGTCACAGTTCAAGGGTGAGGCCGCCCCGGCTCTCGGGTGAGGGGGGAAGGGCCGGCCTCGGGTCAGAAAGGGTGTCTTTCTCACCTCTGCCCCGCGGAGAGGCACGGAGTTCCGCCGACTTGGCGCTGGCCAGATGGAACCCCGGACCCCACTGTGAGGGAGTGGGGTCCTCCCCGGGGCCTGACGTCACCGGTGTCCCGTGACGTCACGGCGGGCGCCCCTGAGGTCACCGGGCCGCGGCGAAGACAAAGGCCTGGAGAGCCTTGGGCCTGAGCCCCTCCCCATGCAGTGCCCTCCCTCAGCGACACTCGCCGTCCCCAGTTGCCCCCGAGCCGCACCTGAGAAACTCCTGCAGGCAGGTGTCACAGAAGCGGTGGCCGCAGGTGGAAACCTGCACGGGCTCGCGCATAGGTTTCCCGCAGAGTGGGCACAGGAGCCGCCGCTTGGGCTTCTCCAGGAACTTATAG